CACGCGCACGGAATCGTTTGGGCAATGGTGGCGTTCGCCCGCCTTGAAATACTTCGCGTGCGCGTGTACCGCGCTCTCCGTCAATCCACGGAACGTTGGGCCAACGTTGGTCCAACGGTTCTAAACCACGTGCCAACGTTGACCTAACGTTGGCACGTTTATCGAGTCCCCACGCCGTGCGGGTTATTTCTCTTTTTGCTGGGCGGCTCGTTATTTTTGGTCCCCACATCACTCCGCTGGTCCGTGCGTGTTGACGAAGGCGGTGGAGGTGGATTCTTCCGTTCTCGCTGCTTCACAGCACGCCGCCCCACAGCAGCAGCCTATGGTAGCAACCCGCTTGCCTTGCACGGTGGCCACCTGTAGGCTCAGATGGCCCTGCTTATCTTCCGTGAGCGCGACGAGATTTTAGAAACACTGCCGAGCGATTTGGTCGCGGGCGAATGGCGTGGTCCACCTTAGCAAGTCGGAGAGGGCAAACGCTTTGTGTTATTTAACAGTCGGTACGGTGTCCTGGATGTAAGCACTCTACACTCACCCGCAGTGCAATTTTGCGTTCTGTTTAATGAGCCTTTGAAGGAGTTTGAACGCGACTTTACTCGCATTCCCTGCTTTTATTTGGCGTATCCTGGTTTAGTCTGCTGCGTATTTGCGCCCATCCTCTCTCTCAGCTCTCTCTCTCTCCCGCCACCGGCGCGGTCCCTTAAACGAATGTGCGCAATTTAATAAATACGAGTCAAGGTGACACAGAGAGGCCCGTGGAAAATCAAGGTTATTAGCGTCAACGTGGATTGTGCACCGATGCGCGATGTAAGGGGATGGGGGGGGGGGCGTCGAGGAGACATCGTTGCGTAATCTGATTGATTGCAACTGCCCTCTTTGTCTTTGGCACGACATTCAATCGGCGGGAGCAGAGTTAGCGTTCACAAAATGCATTACATTTGGCTTGTCTCGAGAAAGTTCAGGAAGTGTCGAAGTTTACCGAGCGTTTTAAAAATGGATCTCAGAAGGTGTGTGGCTGTTCCGTGGGGTGCGATATGTCACGGAGCAAATGTTTTTTTTTTTTGTTGCCATTGATCAGAAACGTTAGGACGATGACAACGGAAGTCGAACGATAGCCGAGGAAGTGCGCGAAGCAGCGCAGAGGGACGCGCCCTTTGAATTGCCCCGCGACGGAAATGAGGGCACGTTGATGAGGACGTAGCGCACGTCAGGCGCATCACTTTGACTGTCGGGAATAGTACTGCATCATACCGGAGTGTTCTCGGGCAGGACACGGCACAAGTTGGGACGGTGGCCGGTGGTTGGTACTGCCCACAGAGTGTGGCAGCCAAAGGAGGCAAGTCGTCCCGAGCGAGTACTCGCCTGGGCGAGTACTCGCGAGAACTTCTGGGACGGAATCAGCTCACACGAGAACGTGAGAGATGGCGACGGCTTGGGGGAGAGGAAGGAAAAAAACGTTCCTCCAGCAGTGGACAGATCATGGCTGATGAAATGTCTTGTTTGTCTTCATCAAGGCATCCATGTTCATGCGAAAGATGATCACCAATGAGACAGTACTGTAGGCTAATCAAGTAGCAGCAAATGTTGACAATAGAGGGAATACATTGACGTGGTCCAAAGAGTTTTCTTTACGAAAAATAAAAAAACGAGGATTTACCTTCGTGTAATAAAATAACACGACAAAATATCCATAACTTTAATGGAATCTCCAAAGTTTCCCCGTGCACGAAGTGAAACATAAAACAACAAACCTTTACCCCCCCTGCTTTTGTCCATTGTCGTGAAAAAAGATAAGTATAGTACAGTATCATCTCTTTTTCAGGAAGTCCAGCCGAGGAGTATAATACATGACACGAACCGGCTAAAGTATTGAATAGCGGAAAAAAAAATCGACATCCGCAGACTGACAAATGTACAGCGCGAAGAGATACAAATACAAACATTAATAGCCGTACCTGGCGCAACATACGCCGATCTAGCAGATGTTAGTCAAACATTCACGCCATTATTTATTTACACTTATATTTTTTGTAATTAAAAAAAATGTCTCTGAAGGTGCAATTATCAATTCCTGGGTTATTTTCCGACACCGCGCGAAGTGAATCAAACGATCAGGGCTCTCTTCGTGGCGCGATGTAAAAGTCCACAGCCAAGCTGAGTTGTTGCAGACATCGTTGGCCTCTTCTTATTCATACGTACAGTATATAGACACATGAATAGAAAACGTTGGGCAGAAGAGCCGGAGAGAAATAAAAAAAAAGCCAGCAACAACCACCCAGAAGTGGTGACACGCGGCCGCCCACGACGCGATGGGCCGGCGTTTTCGTTGGAGGCTCCACGTCCAGTGGGGGAAAAGCCACCACGCACACAATTGTGAGTTGTAATCGTGCGAATCCTCCAAGCGCCGCTGTCTTGCGCCCGACGACTCAGTTGGCTGCCACTGAGTTTTAATTCGACTCAAACGCCCGCCGTTGTCTCAATAATCCAGAGAATGAAAAATGTGTGCACCGGGGAATGTCGTGTTCTCGAATGGTAAAAATCCTAATGAAGGAAGTTCTGGAAGGATGTAAGCAATGATGATTGCTGTGTGTGTAATACTGCTGTGTGTGATGATGCTGTGTGTGTGATACTGTGTGTGTGATGATGATGCTGTGTGTGTGATACTGTGTGTGTGTGATGATGATGCTGTGTGTGTGATACTGTGTGTGTGTGATGATGCTGTGTGTGATGATGATGTGTGTGTGATACTGTGTGTGTGATGATGATGCTGTGTGTGATGATGATGCTGTGTGTGTGATGATGCTGTGTGTGATGATGCTGTGTGTGTGTAATACTGCTGTGTGTGATGATGATGCTGTGTGTGTGATACTGTGTATGATGATGATGCTGTGTGTGTGATGATGCTGTGTGTGTGATACTGTGTATGACGATGATGCTGTGTGTGTAATACTGGGTGTGTGTGATGATGCTGTGTGTAATACTGGGTGTGTGTGATGATGCTGTGTGTGTGATACTGTGTGTGTGATGATGATGCTGTGTGTTCGTGCTGTGTGTGATGATGATGCTGTGTGTGATACTGTGTGTGTGATGATGATGCTGTGTGTGTGATACTGTGTGTGTGATGATGATGCTGTGTATGTGATACTGTGTATGATGATGATGCTGTGTATGTGATACTGTGTGTGTGATGATGATGCTGTGTATGTGATACTGTGTGTGATGATGATGCTGTGTGTGATACTGTGTGTATGATGATGATGCTGTGTATGTGATACTGTGTGTATGATGATGATGCTGTGTGTGTGATACTGTGTGTGATGATGATGCTGTGTGTATGATGATGCTGTGTATGTGATACTGTGTGTGATGATGATGCTGTGTGTGTGATACTGTGTGTGTGATGATGATGCTGTGTGTGTGATTGTGTGTGATGATGATTGCTGTGTGTGTGTGATACTGTGTGTGTGATGATGCTGTGTGTGTGATACTGTGTATGATGATGATGATGCTGTGTGTATGATACTATGTGTGTGATGATTATACTGTGTGTGTGATACTGCTGTTTGTTGATGCAGTGTGTATGTGCGATACTGCTGTGTGATACTGCTGTGTGAATATGCTGTGTATGATGTTTGCTGCGGCATGGTTATAGACCATAAAATGCAAAGGATGTGCGTTTGGTGAAGTTCTGCGTCAAGGATGCCGTATGATGATGCTGTGTGTGACGATTTACCCAGAAAAAGCAAAGCATGTGGATTGGGAAATTCGTCAGAGGTGAGAACTGGCCGAAGGAAGTTCTCGATTGTAGGAATCCAAGAGACAATACGAGAAAAAAAGGGCCTTGTAGTGAAAGTAACGAGAGCTCCAGATCAGTGATGATGTGATGTCTTTGAGCCCAGAGTCCCGAGATTGTGCAGGCGAGCGGGGAATCTGTGTCAATGGAAGATGGATGCTGGTCGGCCTGTCGATGAGATTGGAGGATGGACATGTCGGACCGCACGGTGTGCCATCGAGCCACTCGCTGACGACACTCGAAGCAGGCCCGTCACGGCAGCACGACATCACCGAAATCCCCATCGGGTTTTCCTTCCCCGAGCTGACATTCGTTTGGAAATCCGCAGCCAAAAGTGACCTTTTAAAAATGTTAAGGTTCGTATTATTAATACGATGTAGTTGTGGTTTGATTGAAGACCCCCCCCTCCCTCCCCTCCCTTCGTATGGGGGAGGCAGGGTTTAACGGAGGTCCTTTGTAGAGACGTGTTTTTTTTTCGACTTCCTGAATCCGTTGCACGTTTTACGACAAGCATCGTGGGGAGACCGCCAAGTGGCTGCCGAGTCACCCGCACTTTGGGTTTCCACCAAAGGGAGCTGACAGGGAGGCAGGGGCTTCATAAAGGGGCTAAGAGGAGAAAGGAAATGCTTAACAGCGGAGTAAGGTTCTCTGTGAATGCACAGCCCATCTCGCCAGGTCTCAGAAGCTAAGCAGGTTGGAGCCTGGTTAGTACTAGCATGGGAGACCTCCAGTTGTTTCCCCAAGTGTTGCAGGTTGCGGGTCTGTGAGGAGGCCAGGATATGGTGGTAAAAGCAAAGGGATCTTGAATCCATCGGCGCAGAGCTTCGGTTGTATTGCCCCCTTGTAAGCATGACTTTTCTCCAGGAACAGCAGTTTATTCCCACACGGAGCCACACACTTACGAATGGCAGGACACTCCTGATAAAGAGCTTTGAGGCTTTCTTTGCCAAATACTGGAACTTTGAATCATAATGATTGTTGTTGTGTACCATGTTAATGGTATAAAAGGTCCAGGGCCACCCTCCTTCACCAACCCGCAATGACCATTAGTGGTGAAGCATGGTCAAACAACGCCCCCGTGACTAACAGAGCATGGGGAGGCCTTCGTACAGCAGTGGAACGAGGAAGTGCTGCGAATTATAATTATCAGGGCGAGAAATCAAGTCCACAGTGGCAGGGTGATCACAGAACAGATACGGACAAATGGTACCAACTAAATGCCACAAAACTTTATTGTGAGTGCGATCAGCTGGTTAGCAGTTTTACCTCTTTTGTATTTACCTTAAATCATTTTTTTTCCACAGTTACTTTACACAGTAATATACATACACGGTTTGTACACCATTGCTAACAAAGCGAAAGCCTTATCTTTTCGAGAGAGAAAAAAAACGATAATCCAAGTACGTGCGTTCCATACTCGTGTTGCGGTTGGTGTTGATGTTTTTAAACGTTAAATTTAAGTGAAATGAAACACCGTATAAACCACGATAAACTAATGCGTTGTCAGACACGGAAGCGAAACGAAAGGCTATCTCTTGCGGAGGGGTAACAACGGTCGTATTTCATTCGCTGTACACAGGTTACGGCAATAGGAAAGTACACGGCCGCTGGGCTCTTCGCCGCGCGCGATAACCCCCACGCTTGCCACGTGCGGTAGGCACGCACGAACCGAGTGAAGCGGGGTGGATAGGGTGGGGTGGGTTGGGGGGGAGGGGAGTGTTTACCGCGGCCGAACGTGAACCAAAGTGAGAATTCGGGAACGGAACACAAATGCCAGGGCGCTCTCGCATAGCCCGAAACTTCGCGCGGACGGCGTTCAAAGTAACAAAAGGCATAGTAGATTATCGGACACCCTCGACAAGCGGTGGCATAAACAGCGCTCCGAGCGAGACGCGGATTTGCAATCTGACCTCTCCCGCGGGAAGAAAAAAAAAACGAGGCACGGGGGTCTTCACGGCCGTCGATCGACGCCGTCGGTTGACGGGGAAGTCTCGCGGCGCAGCCAATTCGTCGCAAGTGCCGAATTACCGGTCGTAGTTTATCCCCACCGGCTGGAAAGCGCCGCTAGTTCGTCGCAAGTGCCGAATTTACCGGTCGCAGTATCTCCCCACCGGCTGGAAAGTTTGGCCGGGTAGGACAAACTGCGGCCGCAGAAGCGTCACGCTCAGGCTTCAGTTGCGGCACAGTTGGACGTGGCGCTCACTTGGGGAGAACGTTGCTTCGTTGGGGGTCGACTGCCGCCCTGCCCCTCGTCAGCCTCCTTGACCCCGACAGCTTCGTCATTGAGCGACCAATTAAGGCCACCCCTTGCCCCCACCCCTCACCACCGCCACTGCCACCCCATCACATCCACAACACGTCCACTCTGCATTTCCGAAAGGGATTCACTTAACAGAGTTGGAACCCCTCGCACGTTGCCGATCCTAACATCTGGCCACTGCGGGTTGCAATTTCGCAGTGGGTTTATCTTTTTTTGCGTGTGTTTCGTTTGTTGTCCTTCCTCCGCACCTCCGATTAGTACGGTTGGCTACGCACGGTGCAAAAGAAGTTCCGCATACATACAATCCGCATTCTCACTTCAACGTGGCCCAGTTGAAACTCTGTCACTGTTTTGGTCTCGGGCTGGAGACTTATTTGCTCTCCAAAGCCGAATAAAAAAAAAATCACAATAATAACAACAGCAATAATAAGAAACAAAAGTAACTTTAAAAAAATGTATGTTTTTTTCCGTAATTGTTTGTTACGTATTTCTGTATCGGGATATATATATTCATATCGTATTAAATTCACGTCTCAAATTTTTTATTTGATTGTAAAGCATCTGTCCAGAGGTGTGCGGCTGCATGCGGACGCTCGTAGCGGAGTGTTTAAGTTTGTATCATTTCGCGTGAAACGGTGGCACGTGGAAGGCGCTCAAAGCGTGCCGTGAAGTTCCACTCCGTATGTGCGTGTCGCGGTGTCAACAGTGGGGTGCCAAGCTGGCGAGATGGCACCTTGCCGAGGATCCAGGGCGCTACTTTGAATGCCCCATCAACCATTCCGACACGACGCTTGCTCGTCAGAGCCACCGAGTTGCTTAGGCGAGGCACAGGGAAAAAAATAAGACAAGTGAAAGTAACAAAAAACAGGCGCGACGTTGAACAGAGTTCAGAGCATTAGGACAACACATCATGTTAAAGCATAGGTGCGTGCCACTTTGAAGGTAAAGTTAATATAAAGCCTATCAACTTTTCAACGTCTTTTTATTCTTGTTCTTATTTACATACGATGTGCATTGTGTCCACACGGATAATAGACAATTCCAGATTTTATTGGGGTTTTCAAGGTGGTGTCAGAATACATCACGTACACACAGCTGTACAGGCAAGGTATTACCATACGTAAATACCACGATAGCTAGCGCGCAGAAAACGCCGAACCCAACAAAAATATATAACAATCACCACCGACGTGGACATCAAGGAGGGGCACTGTCAGTCTGCTCACAGCTTCAACAGTCAGGGCACAGCGTTCAGCCCCGGGGTCAATGTGGGGAGGCTGATCTTTAGCCAAACGGCTCCTTTTTGTTGGTCAAAATCAAGTTCATCCTTTGGTGTGTGTGTGTGTGTTGTTGTTTCTTTCTCTTTTCTGTTCGTCTCGCTTTGAGTTTTTTTTCGTTGTTTTTATTTTCTTCAAAAACCTTCCGTTGAGTGGTGGAGTTTAGTGCGCGACGTCGTGGGGGGTGTGGAGGTTAAAGTTGGAGGAGTAATTTGGGCAAACAAAAACAACGTCGTGTGAACGAAACGTTGTCGTCTAAAACGGAAATGAAACGATAGAGGTAAAAACCCTTCAGGTTAAAATTTGGGCTGGCGCCATCGTAGATGTCACAGAATGTACACAATGTGTTTGTTTATTTCTCTATTTGCGCTTAACTCTACGCTCTAGTTACAGAAAATATAGAAGCGGGTTTTTTCTGTTTAAATTTCTACCTGAGCCTAAAAGCTTTTGATGTCTGCACACAATATTTGACATGATTATACAACGGCCATTTAGCTACCCACAAAGGTCGTCTTTACCAGACGTAGTTCAGGACGGCGACATGGATAAATTCCAGGTCGTTTTGTTCCGTGTGAGAACAAACTAAAATATGCGTGAGATTTGAGATTGCTTGAAATCGTAGGAATGTTGGTAAGACCATAGAAACTTTTTCTTTTTACCAGACTCGACTCTCATTTGGCAAGTTTGAATGCCGACTTTCACCCTGGCGAATCATCCATTCAACTTGTCCGAATGTGACTTTCAGCAGCAAATAATATTGGCAGCTTTGTTTCTTTAAAAAAAAAAATACCCCCCGAGAAACACGGGACCATTGGTTAACCACAGTTATAACAAACCACATCAACTGTTCTATTGACCGGCCCAACTGAACAAAAAAGTGGGAAACTTTACGTCGATCGTTTATAGCGAAACGAAAACCAAACTGGGGACACATCTGAAAATAACGAGGTGGTGAAGACAGTGAGTCCGAGTCCGGTGAGGGGTGGGGGCGGCGGGGGGCAAGGGGTGGGTGAGGGGGGGAGAGTTAACAAAAGTAAAGCTACCTCGAGTTGCCGAAAGCTTGCAGTGAAAGACACATGGCGGGGTGTGACGGATTATGAACGTGTCGATGGGCCGGAAATTTCACGCTGGTTACAAATAGAGCTCCTTGTTGAAGTCCGGGCTGGACATGGTGCTGATGGTGGCCGGTCGGTACGCTTGGGGCCGGGCGAGCGGGATTTCCTCTGCCTCGTTGAGGAAGTCATTGTGCCTGCGGTAGTTGTTGCTGTAGAAGGCGTTGTAGTAGGAGTTGGCCTGCCGGTTGCTGGTGCTGCTCGGCTTTCCCACGCCGCCAACCGCATCGCCGCCCCCTCCGCCGCCGCCGTTGCCGCTACCCCCGCCCGCGCCGACGCCGACGACGCCGCCGCTCGGACCTCCGTGGTGGAACAACGCCGAACCGTTGGGCACCAAGTCACGGCGGTCCCACTCGGGGCGGTGCAGCGGCCCCGGGTAGGAGGACAGCGGGGAGAGCTGCGATCCCGACTTGGCCGTCCCTTCTCCGCCGACGCCGCCCGCCGGCATCCAGCAGTTGTCGGAGTGGCCGTACATCTGACACTCGGGCGTGCAGGTGGAGCACATGGAAGGCAGCGCCACGTCCGGGAGGTCCTTGGCCACCACGATGGGAGTCTGCAGGGCGGCGCGCGCTGGAACCACCGCAGGTCCTGTCGCGCAGACGATATGCAAAGATGAAGACAAAAGATCCCTCCCCCTCCTATAGGCATACGGGCGGTTGGGGCAAAGTAGTGTTAGCGTAGTCGTGTAAGGCCGAGTGGATCTAGGGGAGGTCCACGACACGTTCTGATATTATTGCACCTGCAACTGATGTCAGCCGTGGCTGGGAATGGAACTTAAGCTGTAGTATAATGCCACAGGCACAAAGACAAAGATCCCACATACTCAATATAATTCAACAGATTCTCGGGGGACATTTCTGCAAACGAGTGTAAAATTCAGGCCGTCATGGCGCTCAAGGGGGAGTGGGTGGGCAGCACCACACCCGGTCACCTTTATCTCCCCAGTGACGATGTTTTCACACCACACCAAGTACTCAGTTGAGGCTGATTCGACCTAGAGGAGACCCATGACCGGTTCAGATAATCATCATCGATGATTGGCCATGAGCGGTAATCGAATTCTGGCATGCCAACCACCGCACCACCGCTCCCCACCGAACACACGCACACAGACGCACGCACACTAACGCACCCGCGTGTGTTGCAGGTCAACAAATGATTTTGTTGTATCAACATGCTGGATCGTGTGATGAAGTGGAGAGTTCACGTTGAATAATGGATAAAGCCCCGTGTTTCCAGAGCCGGGAACACGAGATTGTGAATGCTGTGGCCTCCCGCTTGTGGCTAAAGCTGTCTCTCCGTCAGGTCCTCATTCCGTACGTATGCACGCATGTTGAACTTCTTTCACACTGTACGTCGCCAACCATGTTAATCACAGTATCGTTACTAATTCATATCGCGAAGGTTTAATTCTGCGACGCAGGCCGAGTGGGGTTCCCTCCCAATTAGGGAAGACTTGTTGAATTATCAAATCCATTTATTAACAATTAAGTAAACGCACTGACAGCATGACACGTTGAAACCGTAGGCGAGATGTGAACGGGACGCTAATGGGTTTTGTCAATGTCATCAGTTTTGTTTAAACAAATCTGCATTAATTGGACATTCTTATAGTGCTTTGGTAAAATGTATGTGTGGGTAAATATGCACTTTATATAAGACTTTGAAACCAAAATGACAAAAGCATTTAAAGAGGCAATAGCTGATTTATAGTCTCGATTATTGTTAACTTCATATTCATTGTTTGAAATATAAATGGGTAATGCCACAGTCCATATGCAGGTCATATGTGGCGGGGTAAAGTGTGGGTACTTCCACCCCTGCTAAAAAAAAAAACATCTGGCTAGCGTGGAGGAGTAGGCCAAAACAGCACCTCTCAATATCTCCTCTCAAGATTATTCAATGCAACCCGATCCGATGCTGAATCAATTTATTTGTCGACTTCCTTGTTTGTATGTGGCATTATTATTTTGCGTGTGTCACGTGGATAATTTGTAGAGCATCGAACTGTAGACACCCTCTATCTAGAGGGGCTCTCCAGAGCTACCTCTCCTGGAGGCACCTTCTGCAGGTGCTTGAGAGCAAGCACTTGCAAGGCTGCACCTTTACCTGTTCGTCACCTGTTCCTGTTCGTCACCTGTTCCTATTCGCCACCTTTACCTGTTCGTCACCTGTTCCTATTCGTCACCTGTTCCTGTTCGTCACCTGTTCCTATTCGTCACCTTTACCTGTTCGTCACCTGCTCCTGTTCGTCACCTGTTCCTATTCGTCACCTGTTCCTGTTCGTCACCTGTTCCTATTCGTCACCTGTTCCTGTTCGTCACCTGTTCCTATTCGTCACCTGTTCCTGTTCGTCACCTGCTCCTATTCGTCACCTTTACCTGTTCCTATTCGTCACCTTTACCTGTTCGTCACCTTTACTTGTTCGTCACCTGTTCCTATTCGTCACCTGTTCCTGTTCGTCACCTGTTCCTATTGTTCACCTTTACCTGTTCGTCACCTTTACCTGTTCGTCACCTGTTCCTATTCGTCACCTGTTCCTGTTCGCCACCTGTTCCTATTCATCACCTTTACCTGTTCGTCACCTGTTCATATTCATCACCTTTACCTGTTCGTCACCTTTACCTGTTTGTCACCTGTTCCTGTTCGTTACCTGTTCCTGTTCGTCACCTTTACCTGTTCGTCACCTTTACCTGTTCGTCACCTTTACCTGTTTGTCACCTGTTCCTGTTCGTCACCTATTCCTGTTCGTCACCTTTACCTGTTTGTCACCTGTTCCTGTTCGTCACCTGTTCCTGTTCGTCACCTTTACCTGTTCGTCACCTTTACCTGTTTGTCACCTGTTCCTGTTCGTCACCTATTCCTGTTCGTCACCTTTATCAGTTCGTCACCTGCTCGTGTTCTTCACCTGCAATGTTTCCCCGCAATTTAGGTGCACGCAGGCGCCTTAACGAAGCGCGAGAACCCTGCCCGTTGTGAGAAAATATCAATATACAGCCAAGAGGCTATTCATTAGGCGACAGGCGGCTTTTGTTTTTGGAGACACCCTGCATATTATCGACCTTCTGTATGGCGGCCTGGGCAGCCCGGGGGCACAGCCGCTGCTGTGCTTGGATTGTGCATCATCCAACGCTCTCGGTCTCGCGAGACGTTGGACTACCCCACACTTCACCGCGCCACGCGCCGTGACCTGCCGATTGGCTCACTGTGGTGTACGCACTTGTGTACGCACTTGTGCACGCACTTGTGTACGCACTTGTGTACGCACTTGTGCGCGCACTTGTGCACGCACTTGTGTACGCATGCTGGACTTCTTTCGCAGCGTACGTAGCCAGCCGTGCTAATCGGATGTGTGTGGGAACGGAGAACGAACAAACTAAACACAAAAATCGGTTCTAACGAAACGAGTTTTCAATCTCGATTTTTAAAGTGCACAGCTCCCAGTGGCTTCCTAATATCGGAAGGAAGAGCGTTCCAGACGGCCGCCGAAGCGCGTCTCTGAAAGCGCCGCGCGACACAGTGACCGCCTTGGTTCGATGGTTAGCCAAAATCCGCTGAAAGGATGACCGGTGTGCAGTGTAGCGGGTTTTAAGTGAACTTGTCCGATGGAATCAAATTGGCGACCTCTGCATTGCAATTCCAGTCTGCTAACCCTTCACACCATTTGGGCAGCAATCTGCTTTTGTAGCTATAACGGTTACGTAAGATTTACCAGCTTACTAAATCTTGCTTCCCGCTGTGAAATTCATCCCGGACAAATCCTTTGACACCATCCAGAAAGTGTTGGCCAGCGCCTGCTTATTTTATAGCCCACATTCCTGAGCTCAATTATCTCTGAAACAAACAACAAGACATCTGAGAAAACGATAATAACAGCCATTTGCTTATTTGCACGGTGGGGGGGGGGGGGGAAATATGCTAATTTGATGACTGTAAAAGAACGGGGGCATTAACGCTGACGAAATGAAAGCCCACGTTGAAAAAATTATCCTCAGATTAATATGGCGACAACAAAGAAATAAGGCAATTTATTTTATTTGCAAGCTACTACCCCGGCGCGTCCGTGGAGAGAACCAATTGCGCGTCTCAATCTCGTCTCATCGGGCCGTAAAGAACGCCGAAACGGGATTGATTATTCACTGTAGCCTCGTTTATTGCTACACGAGGTTCCTTTATAATGAAGCCTAGTAGCCCGTCACAGGATATCGGCGCCTCCGTTTGACCAAAGCCGCTTCTCCCCCCCCCCCCCCACCACCACCACGGCATGCACACGGGCCGTGTTTAATTAACGCCCGCGAGGGGATTACAGATCGGTCACAAACGGGGCAAATGCGCAGCGCTGCGGGTTGCGTTGCTCACTGCGACTGTAACCAGAAGGGCCTCCCCCGCGAAAGGGGAGAAATCTACAGACTCCCCACGCACCCTGCTCCCGCCGCCCCCCCCCCCCCCCCACCATCTTGACGGTATTTTTGGCCTACTCTTCCGCACCGAAATTGTAAAGAGGTTGGACTGCCCACAGTTTACCCCAGCTGCGGATTGGCTACCTACGGTCTACCCATGACGCTGCTGCTGGGTGGACAGAGGCGGTGTGTGGGAGGATGCGGTGCGGGAGGATGCGGAGCTGAGTGGACTTGCCAAAGACCGGTACCAGCAGTGTCAAGATCGGCCTCCGTGGGAGAGGATCGTGAAGGATGCTACTGGTCAGTTGGAGGCAGTCACCCTCCAACAACAACAACAACAAAAACTGGGGCCAGAGGTGCGACTCTCACAACAACGTGCGGAGCGCCAGGCGACTAAAACGCAAGAAGCTGACACGGCGTGGAGTACAACTGGGGCGCATCTGCCAGTCATCTCAGCCAGTCAAACCCATGGCACCTGCTGGGTCTGCCCCCGTCCTGACCTCCCGCCAGCGAGCCTTCGACACTCTTCACGTGGCCACGTTGTGCACCTGGCCTGGCACAGGCGCCGTGGTGACGTCGCCGTCCCTTAGTGGTGAATGGCGGTTGTGTTGGTATTGAGAATAGGGGGGGGGTGGAATTTGACTGGCTCCCCACCGTTGCTTCCATCCGAGCCGAACCGGTCGACCTCTGTGCTGCAAGTCCGGCGCGCCAAACCGTGCACCCCCTGCGCTGCTGTGGCTGCGGTGTCCCCCCCCCCCCCGTGATATAACCGCAGCGGTAACCACGGGGGGGGGGGCACCGCCGCGCACGGGGGAGACGGTAAGCGGGGGTGGGGGGGGGGCATTCTGCCAGCGCCGCAACAGATCCGCCGCAACGCGATTTGCTTTCGAGGCCGACGGGCCGTGGATTTGAAGGCGAGGGAGAACACCACCCCCCCGGGCCAAGACCATTAACCCGTTCAACATTTATTCAGCCAGAGCGGCCCACCTTGTGCCGCGTTTCCCACTCCCCCCGCGACTGTCAAATCGATACTGTATCAGCTGCATCTGCTATAAGTGTTTTCAGAGGCAACGGAGCATCTCTGGGCTGCAGGGTCTGTAACTCCGGCTAACAAGCGGCCTTGAGACCCCCTCCCCACACACTTCCCCTCCTCTCCGCCTTCTCCCCTACCCTGCACCCACGACACTC